AAGATCGAAAGCCAAATATGCAAGACCAAGACCAAGTTATGATTATGAAGCAGATTTGTAGGTTATTAGACTCACAGTTAATTATATATTAGTATATGTTGGTTCAAGTTTTGAAAATTTTGAGAATATCATTTCTAGGATTACTATAATACTTATTAACGTGGACCAGACCTTTCAGGTTGGGTTCATAGTTTTAAGTTTATAATCACTGGTAGTTATGTAGTATGCAATACTTTTAGTAGAGAATCAACACATATTTAAGAGTTATAAGGCATATTTCTATTAAATTTATGTTTCAAATCGCTAAAAGGTAAGATCAAGAAGGTGTTTCTTGGAATGAATTAACTTCTTCTAAACTTATTTTCTCTCATTCCCGAGGCAAAAATAAATAAGAAAACATATTTTTAATAATTTATCTTACAAATCAATCAATTGTGGAATGCATCTTTTTATTGAATATTCAATCACAAGTCATAATATGCAATATCACCATTCAATATCTCTCTTTTCGCTAAGCATTGGGAATTTCTACACCATTAAATCAATAGTGCATGTTGTACCAGAGGTTGTTAATTATATATTGGCTTATTATATTTAATAATGTTTGCTTTATCGAGAGCATTGTTGATCCCCTTTCACTTGTGCATTCAACACCAGTGTTGTGATAATCGGATGGTTCGACCGGTTCAATCGCTGACCGAACTTGAAAATGGCTCTGTTTCATAATCTTAACCGAATGAGTAGTTGAACCGCTTTGAACCGGAGAAATTTCGGTTTGACCATGCTAAACCCAATTAAATCGGAATAACCCTTGAAAAAAACTAGACGGTTTACTAATTTTTTTTTTTAAAATGTAACATTACTCTAATGTTTTGTTTTATTTCGGCCTAAAAAATACAGAGAGACGTTACTTCAATATACTTATATAAAATTATTAATTATATAAAATTTTACATTTATACAATGTTGTAAAAACCGTACCGTACCGGCCGGTTCAACTGGAAAACCGGTGAACCGGACCCATAACCGGTACGGTACGTATGTTATACCGCATATGCAATAGAACCGGTGAAAACCGATGAACCGGTTTAAACCGGCCGGTTTGTACATTAATTTTTTTTTGAATTTCAAATTTTCAATTCTTCACCTATTCTTCAACTTCAATGATTGATATTTGTGTCATTTATTTCTATTTTGCATTTGTTAAGTGATAATTTTGGATTAATATATGTTTTGCACTTTACACTTCGATTTTGTTAAAGACTTAATGTTGTTTGTTTGTGTGAATTTGGACTTAATATGAATTATAAATCTGAATATCTACTTATTTGAAATTTTTTGTTATCGGTTTATATATATATATAAAAGCAAGTATGTCTAGTTAAACCGGCATGCGGTTTAATTACTGAACCACTGGTTGAACCACTGTACCACTATACCAGTACCCTGACCGGTTTGATAACCAGTAAAGTTTTAATAGCATTGCATTTATATATAATTATATATTTATAGATAAAAATTATTAATTATATTTAAAATCATCTGGTCTGATCGGACGGCTTAACTGTTTAAACCGGTTAGACCTAATACGGAAGTTCTTCCGGCTTGACGACCGGCTCGGGTTTCACAACATTGTTCACCACACAAGCAATATTGAATGAGTTTTGTTAATTAAATGTGAATTTTGGCATAGTATTGCACAAATTGTTGCCTTCTAATATTATAGAGTGATGTAATAAATGATCCTTTCGAGTTAGAGTTAACATCAATTAAAAATACAACATTGGTAGATTTGCTACCACGTCAGGTAAGAGAAACGACAAGAGAAAAACAAATGATACACAGTTTTATCTCGAGCATTACACCAAATACACCTTAGATCATACCAATTGACATCCATGCCTCTATGTGCTAAATTTATTTTACAAGGAAGTCTATTCAGCGTAATTCTACATAGGGGTGAGTGTGGGTCGGATTGAGACGGGTTAAGGTTTGTCCTTACCCGACCCTAAATGTAGTTCGGGTTATTTTTCTGAACTCAGACCCGACCCTAGACCTGGAGTTAACCTGACCCTAAATATTCATAGGATCAACTTTAAACTTGGACTTGACCTTAAACCCGATTAAATATAACGTATACTCATTTTACATAAAGTCTTCTAAATATTATTTATTATTTTGAATATGTAATTTGACATATAAAATAATATATGTGTATATACATTATTAAACATGTATATATTATGAAAAATTAGAGAATCGGTGATATTTTCGACCAAAAAAGTATCATTACTCTGTATATATTTGAACAGAGACACAATCAAACATCATGAGTAGGTGACCATGGGACGGATCGGGACGGGTCATGTTTGGTCTCTACCCGTCCCTAAATATTGACTGAGTCTAATTTTTGAACCTGAACCCGTCCCTAGACCCGATGAGACCCGGTCATTTTCAGGCTCGATCATGATCGGACTATACCAAGTGAGCGGGTAGAGTCAAATCCTACTCACCTCTAATTCTACATGCTAGCATATGAGTCTTCAATGGTGCCACATGTGTCCAAATTAAAAAAAAGCAACCTTCTTTGATATGTACCACTACCACCTTGTTTTCAAAATGACGTTATAAATTGATTAAGACTAATTAGCCTCACTAACTAATTAAGTGTTTGATTGTGATACATTAGAGTTTATAGTTTATGTTTGTTTTTTTTTTAAAAATAAACTGAAAATATAAACTATGTTTGACAACCAAATGAAGATTATAAACTCAGTTTTTTTTTTCTGAAAAAATAAACCAAAAGTATAAGTTCCAAAATCATAGGTTGGTTTATTTTTTTTAATTTATTTTTTCCAAAAATTTTTATTTCCCATTTTATCTCATCTTAACTTTATCTATCTTCTCATTTTTATTCTTCCACCAACCACTATAACTCTTCTCATCATCACTATCAAACTTCATAACTCTCATTTTCCCATCTCTCTATCATCACCCAACCACGTAATTCCCCATAACAATTTCATTTATCTATACACAAACAAAGAATTATCAATTATGTATAAAACTTTGTTATATAATATTAAAATTTTGTGAATTATGTATAAACTCATTAAACCCTAAAACTTTTGTATAAAACATAACATTTATGTATTATTTATTTTGTAAATTATGTAATTTAAGTTTAGTAACTTCCATTTATTTATGTGGTATATTGTTTTTAATATTGATATTGGTTTTTATATTGTATTTTATTTTAATATTTTTTTAGCCTTTGTTATTATGCAATATTAAAAATTATGATGTTATTTATTTATCTTGATCTTATGTTGTTTTTTAAATATTAATATTAGTTTTTATATTGTATTTTGTTTTAATATATTTTTTTAGCCTTTGTTATGCAATATTACAAAATTAAAGTAAAAATATATGATGATAAATATTAAAAAATGTATATTTAAAAAATAGTGTAAAAAACAACCAAAATAATCATAACATAGACAAATAACCTCATACTCTTTTATATAATTTACTACGTAAAAAGCAATCTTTCTACCTTACTCAAATAAAACATATTAGTTTATATTCAATTTTCAGCTAAAGTATTCAAACATAAATAGATTATAATCTTAATAGTTTCTAATCTATCAGTTTATAATCTCATAGTTTATAAAATGAAACTAAAAACTTAATTCATCTCAAACGTACGCTAATTCTAAGTTTCTTCCGGCCAAAAGATCTTTAAATTCCATTTAGAGTAACCCTATGTCCATTCATCTAGCATTTATAAGGAATGCTAAAGCTAACTACTAATAACCTAAATATATCAAAATAAGAATAAAATTAATTTCCATATTCTTTATTTGTTTGAACGTATCAAATAAAGTACTTTGAATAGTGACAATTAAAATCATAAACTACCGGAAAGCGTCACAAGTAGTTGAATCTCACTACTTAGTTTATTTATTTAATTTTTTGAAATAAAGTACTTTTATTAACTACTTAGTTTATTTTATTTAATTTTTTTGAATTTTAGTTTAATATTTGATTGTGATAAACTTTCAAATAGGGCTTGATTTCCACTAGGCCCAATATCATATAATTTAATGAACATAGAATGCTCCTACCAGGATTCCTCGGAAGTCAAAGCCATATAATGAATTTTGGGAGAGCTAATTTGGTTTGGAACATGTGGTGCACGCCCTGTGTATAGTTTAGGGGATAATAGGTTGGATTAGATCAGATTTGAAGGGGGTTAAGTACCTAAATCAAACAAAATAGATGGATTAGAATATGTTAGAATTTCATTGCATTGAGTAGTAAAAACCGAAACTAAATAACCCATATAATAAAAAAAAAGAAGATAATATAGGTAAGTTAGATCCACAAGCTAAGTAACCTAACCTGCAGAAATTGTCACCTTTGAGCTTCACCATAATGCCATAAGTCAAGCTAACAGTGCAATCAAAAGGTCACCATCAAATGCCATAAGTTAGGAATTGAACTTGGATGCAGTTGAATAGAATTGTGTAGTCAACATTTCTGTGAGTCCAGCAACTTGTTAAGAAGCTGTCTTCCAACCAATCAAAGCTGTCGCATTAAATGAATATATTTGAAGATCAAGGTTTGACCAACAAGTTGAGAAGCTCATGGATGACTTGAATAAATCCTACACGTTCCAACTATGAAAGCCTCAACCTTCTACACGTTCCAACTATGAAAGCCTCAACCTTCTACACGTTCCAACTATGAAAGCCTCAACCTTCTCTTTCCTTGTAAAAGTCAACGCTAATTAATTACATCCACTTTGGTAAGTATTCCTCACAATTTTTCATTTTGACTCTCACTGGTGGGCCTTATTTTTAATATCCACAAGCAGCCACACCATAACTTACCTGATATACATATATATATATTGGTCCTATATATACATATTTTAAAAATGGATATTTAAAAGAAATAAAAGACAGAATAATATCCTATTGTAATTAATGTTGTAGAAACAATTTATAGAATATTGTCATTATGGTTGAGAATGAGTCCGTTTTGGCAGGCCAACAAACACGCATTATCCCTTATTAATATAGCATAGGAGCACACACGATGAAGATAGAATAAGTATGGACCATTGCTATTAATATAGTTTATCTAAACATTAATACTACTTTTCCAATCATAAATCTATACATCTCCATTTCCCAGCCACTTGTGTCCCTCCCTGAGTCCACAACATTGAATACAATTGTGTGAGAGTATGGGACAACCAATGAAGAACATGACATCTTCATCATTCCGCCTTCGAAGCCCAAGTCTCAATTCACTACGTCTCAGGCGAATCTTCGACATGTTTGACAAGAATGGAGATTCCATGATAACCATTAAAGAAATAAGTCAGGCCTTGAACCTCTTAGGCCTTCATACTGACCTCACAGAGCTAGAGTCTATCACACGTTCCTTCATTAAGCCAGGCAACTATTACTTTATATCATATTATTATATCCAACTTTAACCATTTTTTTGTTTTAGTCCTTATATATATATATATATATATATATATATATATATATCCATTTTTGGTACACATATATAAATCTTTTATTGATATTGTGGCAGGTAACGAAGGTCTAACTTATGAAGATTTTGTAGCACTTCATGAGTCTTTAGGGGATACATACTTTGGATTTGGAGACATGGAGGAGAATGAGGAACAAGAAGAGTCAGACCTGCGTGAAGCGTTCAAAGTATTTGATGAAAATGGTGATGGTTATATATCTGCAAAGGAATTGCAAGCAGTATTAGGAAAGCTTGGACTCAACGAAGGGAATGAGATTGATAGAGTTAATAAGATGATTGTATCTTTTGACACCAACCATGATGGTCGTGTTGATTTCAGTGAATTTAAGAACATGATGCGCACAACTCTCGTAACCACTTGATTTTCCCATTCTATCTTCTTGAAATCCTAATTTTGTACTATTATGTATTTTCGTTTCTTCTCACATAGTCTCTCCTTTTTTACTACCTTTTCTTATTATAATTAAGATCAGTGTAATATTTGCTTTTTAGTTTGTTTGTTTGTTTGTTTCTCCAGTTACCTTTTTGTATGCGTGCTCAATGCTGCTCTTTACTGGTTTTCTTAATTCGTCCCACCAACCATGCTTTTTATATGCTTTCTTCTTATGATATTGTAAAGCTAGAAATGCATTTGAAGGAACTCAAAATATTTCTACTCTCATAAATCATTTTCATAAATGTGTTAGTCAAAGGGAAAAGAATCATCTCCCCCACTAGAAAAGTTATTGTTTTTACAGATTAAAAAGTAAAATAAATATTATATTGTTATACTTAATGAGATACAAATATTATATTTTCAATTTTTATGTTATATTTGATATACTTGTCTCTCCAATACTAAGATCTTAACTCCACAAAATATCACATGACCTTTTAAGTGTTATAATAAGTTCTAAGTTAAATCAAAATGTAGACCATATACAAAAACCTCATAAGAGTATTATTTTGGGAACCATATTTGAAAATGGAAATTGGGAAATCGGATGGAGAATGAGAATGTAAGCATACATCATTATATTAGGAAGATTGACAATGTAAGTATGCATCATCACATCGTTTTGATGAAGACAATAATAAGACAAGGATTGTAGACGAGTTTGAAGTCACAAGCAACTCAACAAACAATAAGGCTATAGTACAAGATTAATCAAGTAGACTTAGGCTAAGTTTTTATATTTCTAGAGTACTCTTAAGATGATTGATCGGGTAGAGTCTGAGCTAGGTAAATCTCGAATGAAAGTCTCACAAAGACTAAAATTGAACCAATCTAAAATGAGACTTGTATACATTCATACATGATTGACATATTGTAACATGATTTTAGTGCATTAAACTGAGTTTATCACTTATACCTTAAAAATCATGAATCATGCATATACACATCATGTAAAAGGTTCATCATCCATCAAAGAAAATGTTTTTCAACACAGTCAATCGATTACAACTTGTGTTAATCGATTAAATAAACATGAAAATCTGTTAATTGATTAAGTATGAGATTAATCGATTAATTGGAGTAATAGTAGTTGAAATCTTTGATTAATTAGGATAATTAATCGATTAAGCTGCACGTTAATCAATTAAGTCCAACAAAAATTTGTTTTGTATAAAACTTGTTTTTCTCATGTGTTTATAAGAAGAGACATGAGATTGCATATAGACTCATATATATCTCAGATCTTAATTTTCATATCTTTGAGTGAATTTCCTGTTGTGAGAAAAATGATAAGATTTTTTTTATTCATAAGGAGGGAGATGATATATAGTTTTAAGAATTATCCGTTGTACATAATTTTCATATCTTTATTGAAAACCTAGCTTAATCACACAAAATATTTTTTGAGTCTTTGTGATATTTTTGGGACAGTGTTAGGGTTGTTATCGTTGTATATTCGCACATTGAGGTGAAAAATAACTTGAAGAATTTTGGAGACGATTTTGGGGAAATTTTGTAGGTGTGTTTAGTATCACCTCGGTTGAGAATTGCATTAGGAAATCCTAGTTGCGGTTAGGCTATTATCATCACATATACAACAATCTAGGTTGGGAGTGATAAGTGACAGAGGCTAGACCGCTAGAAGTGGTGTTGAGTATCTATTAGAAGGGTAGAAGGTCAAACCATCTTAAGGTCGTCTTTAGGGTCAAAAAGGGAATCTTGTATTGATTTGAAAGCGTGTTTATAGAACATTTGAATTTCAAATACTGAAGAAAAATCTCTCACGTCAAACCATCTTACACTTGGAGAATTTATGTGGCACAAACACTTCCTCTATTAATTAAAGTTTTTCAAAGTTTATTCTATGAAGCTTATTTGTGATTGTCGCCCCGATTTTCGGTTACATCAATTATTTGTGGAGACGCCACTATACTTTTGTGGTTAAAATGTATAAAACTTTTTCTATGCCCAATTTAGGATAAAAGATTCTTTTGAATAAATTTTTTGAGTTCGAGAGTCGATTACGGATCAGGAAATGAAATAGTTATGAATGATAATGGGGGGTCGGGTTTGGGTTTGCTCTTAACCAACCTCGAACCCGAACCCGAATTGAGCGGAGATTAAATTAATAATACTAAACCCGAAAAGATATACAATAGCAACAACTATTAATTTGTAAAAAAGAATAAAAACTAAACGACAAGGTGTCATTTCTATCGATAAAAGTTGTAGTTTTACTATTTCAAGACCCTTTTGTTTCAAAAGTGCTCTCTCATTGTGACAATGGGAAGAGCCACAAGGTGGTTGAAGAACTTATTTGGCACAAAAAAGACAAAGAATAGCAATACAAAGAAAACTCAAATTCTAAAATTTTATGTCACAATACAGCAACTATACCAATTATCACCCAACCTTTTTCCAGCTGAAGCAGAATTTTATGTCATTGAACTTACCCTTCTTCTTTCTTTCTAATTGTGAAGATTTAGATTAGGATTTAGGTAAAATACAATGAAGTCTATGTCTGTAACAAGTATCAAAACTAGTCTAGGATTTAGGGAAAATATTAATTTATTTAATATCAGGTAAAACCTGAACCCATTAACAACGGGTTTAACCCATTAAATTTGGGTTGGGTTCGAGCGGGTACACACGGATTCGATTTTCATTGTCATTCCTAGAAATAGCACATTATAAAATAGTACTCTCACTAATTTCATGGATTAAAAATACATTTGATTTATTTTATTAAAAATTAAAAGAAACATATTTTTTTTTTGTGTTTGACAAGTAAGATCTTACTCCTACGTATCCATATGAGAAATACGAAATCAAGACTACATAGTTCTTTGTTTAAAGAAGTTTACTTTGATTTGTTTGGTTCAAAAATATATGTGGTCAATTAAAATTTATCTAATTCAAGAAGGGTGAAACAACAAAAATTAATGTTTGCATCGTATCTCATCCCATCTCAAAGAGGTATTTAAAAAATAATTAAGGTTGTCCACTTCAAGAACGGTGAAGTAGTAAAAACTAATGTTTGCACCGCATCCCATCAGAGACAATTATTTTGTAAAATATAATTAAAATTTATCCACTTTAGGAATTGTGAAATAGTATAAACTAATGTCACCACTACATCCCATTACAAAGAGACATTTTAAAAATAATAAGTAGTGCAATTTTCATTTTGATTATAATAAATAGGAGATATAATATATAAAGAAAATATTAAATTCAATACCTAAAAAACAAAATAAAAATATAAAAAGAGAAAGTAAGATGAAAAGAAAGTGCATATATGCATCTCACATCATAAATGATAAGAGGACTAGAGGAGCAACACAAATTTCATTTTTAATCTTTATTTAATTAAAATCAAAGACGGAATCACATTTGTTTTTATATAAAAATGAAATCTTTTCATTGTAAGGATAATAAGTGTGTATTTAGTCACTTAAAATATTTCTTATTTTTATTAAAAAGAAGATGAAAAGGGGAAAAATGTAATTTGTTATCCTTAAAATAATAAAAATTATTTGTGTATTTTAAAATAATAAAATAAAAATTGCACTACTTATTATTTTTAAAATATCTCTTCCAAATGAGATATGGTGAGCATTAGTTTCTTTTGCTTTATCATTTTTAAAGGGGATAAATTTTAGTTATTTTTATAAAAATATCTCTTTGAGATGGAATACGGTACAGACATTAGTTTGTGTTACTTCATAGTTTGTGAAGTGAATAGTTATTTTAAATACCTCTTGGAGATGGGATGCGGTGTAGACATTAATTTCTTTTGTTTCACCATTATTTAAGTGAATAAATTTTAATTGACCAAATATATTTTTGAATTAAACAAATAAAACTAAACTACTTTAAATGAAGAAATATGTAGTTGTGATTCCCTATTGCACATATTAATGCGTAGGAACAAGATCTTATCATCTTAGACAAAAAAAACTTTAACAATTTTTTAATAAAATAAATCAAGGGCATATTTAATCCATACAATTTGTGAGAGTGTTTTTTGTAATTGACAAACAGTGTGCGAATACATTCATCGATCCGCAATTGTCTCTCGAACTCAAAACTCTTATTCAAAAGACCTTTTTATCTGAATTTGGAAATAAAAAGAGTTTTCAATGTTTTAACTGCAAAAAACGTAATGACAACTCCAAATAGTTCGGGTAACCAAAAATCAAGGTGCGACACAAATAATTAAGCAATTTTGTACATTGCTTCTAATCCAATTTTTCATAAAGAAACAAAACACACAGAAATTGATTATCATTATGTTTGTCAAGAAGTCATTATGGGAGACATCAATACATCATTTCTGACTTAAGGGATCAATTAAAAAATATCTTCATCAGGTTTCTTTGAGGTCCTAGAATATCATATATGTGTGAAAAGGTGAATACATTCCACATTTATTACGCTTCTCTTATAGATTATGATATATTTTGTTATTGATTAGGATATGAGTAATGATTGATTCTTTTCCATAAAGTGAAGGGTTTTATGTTTGTATCGAGTCTGGCTCCTCTCCATTACTGGAGAAGCCAGTGTCTTCTGCGATTGCGACATGTGGCAAGGAAATAAATCAACGGTTATGATTTTAAATAAAAAATGAATAAATTTTTTAATTAAAAAAATCCTAAAATATTTCTAAATCCCTAAACCTCTTCCTCAATATCCTCATTTCTCTTCTTTGTTTTTTCAATGTAAAACTCATCTTCTCAATGGAAAATATTTTCTTATTTCTCTTCTTTTCTACAAATCTTTTAAAGTCACATCTTAAACACCCACCATGTAAGTCTATCTTCGTCTCTTCGTCAATTTTTTAATTAAAAAAATTCTCAGGGGAAATATTTTGTTTTAACACTGGTTGAGTTTATAATCAATGACCTTCTTCTCCGGCATTTTCATTGTAGTTAAAGTTAGCGGAGGTTTTCTCTATCACCATTCTTGCATGGTGGGAGAAGAGGGATTTTAATAGGAAGAAGAAAAATGAGAAAATATTTTTCATTGAGAAGAGGGGTTTTACATTGAAAAAGCAGAGAAGAGAAATGAGGATATTGAGGAAGAGGTTTAGAGATTTAGAAATTTTTTAGGATTTTTTTTAATTAAAAAATTTATTCATTTTTTATTTAAAATCATAACCGTTGATTTATTTCTTTACCACGTGTCGCAATCGCAGAAGGCACTGCCAGACTCGTTTGTATCCATGTATTGTAAATATAGAAGTTGATTATACAGGATATGATT